CCATTAGCATACAAGAAAAATCCTACAAAAGACTTTTTACGTGGTAGATGAACGATACATGCTAACCATTTAGGAATACGCTTTTGTGGTTTGTGGTTCACCATAACACGGTACCCCCACGATCTCTCCTCCACCCGTCGATAATGACCCAATAGGACTTTACTTCCAGGATTTGTTCCACTGCGATGTCCCCAGTAATCACGACTCGCAAACCCCTTCCAGTCATAATAAAAGGGCGTGTATATCATCATGTTAGCATTGACCTGAAATGGAGACCAGATATCTTTCTGAAGTAATTGCTGCGAGTATCCATGTTCCGGGGAACGAACATATTCCAGCCGTAACGTCGTAGGAGGTCCTTCTTTAAACACGCCAAAGTCATCGGTATACCCGTCGTACATTTCGGTGTGTTTTAATTGAACGTCTTTGCCTGCCTCCAGTTTTGGTTCAACACCGTAATGCTGACTACCTTGTTTGCTGCTAGGGTTAGATAACTTGACGCCACGCCGCGCCACAGACAAGGCGGGTGCGAAGAAGTGAACATCCGCGGTGGTACCTTTCCTGGTGATCTTGGCAGAAGCCAAAGACGGAGAACCAACAGCTCCTCCTCGAATGTCATGAAGAAAAAGTAAACATCCTCGGTACACGGTCCCACCAGCAAATATGGATGCCGCCCGATGCCGCCACATTCAATGGAACTTTTCCCTCCCCCTTTATTCCTCCTACGACAAGGCCTGACAATAAATTCGCACCAAATGCCTATAAAAAAGGGGCGGGGCCAATACACCACAACACTCGCCCAACAAGAGGGAGTAAAAAGAAAAAAAAAAAAAAAAAAAAAAAAAGAAAAAGAAAAAAAGAGCGAGAAAAATAAATGACACCTCTTCCGCTTCCTCTTCCTCTTCCTCTCTCTCTCTCTCTCTCTCCCCGACTGTAAACATCACGCCATGACATTCAAACGGCTCAAAGAAGATAATAAACTGGGCGAGAAAAAAAGTATATAAATATAAATATATATGAAAAGAAACTCATGTATCCAAACACAGCAAACAACAACAACAACACCCACCACCACCACCACTACTACAACAACAAACAAAAAAAGGATGCTGACACTTACCACCGGATGAAAACTACACTCGGTCATCAAATATGCAAAGCTAACGACCCACTCAACTACCGGCGCCCAGTTCAACCAAAATGCCGATGTCAAGATACATATAAATACATGCATAGAGAAAACGTGTATGCCGAAAGGAAAAGGAAAAAAAAAAAAAAAAAAAAAAGGAAAGAAGGTGTGGATACAGCGCCATGCAAGCAATCAAAAAACAAAAACAAAAAACGAAAACAAAAAACCAAAAAAACACACAGGAGCATCATTGGAACCTAAAGGAGGTGTGGGAGAAGAAAGGAGGTGTGGGACGGACAAAACACACAGACATACATAGATCATATAAAACAAACAAACATACACGAACAAAATGTTCAGCAACTGGCAGCACCGCCCCCCTCTTTCCCTCCAAAAACAAAAACAAAAATCATATTCAACTCCTTGTGTTCATTCAAAAGCACGTCACACGGCTGGGGTCAAATGACATTTTCCCAAAAGGCAACAAGGCATCAATAGGCGATAAAATTTTACTACAATTCCCCCCCTCCCCTCCCCTCCTCTCACATTCAAGAAAAAAAAAAAAAAGAAAAAAAAAAAAAAAGAAAGATTCGTGAAGGAAATTCGATGATAACCGGGCTCGCTGTGAACACGGAAGATGACAGTCGCTTTAAAAAAAAAAAAAAAGAGGCCCCACAACTACCGGACGCCCGTCCCAACGTGGAGGGAGGCAGTGAGTGGGCACGAGATTACAAACACACACACACACACACACAGACAGACAGAAAGAAAAAGGAAAAAAAAAAAAAAGGAACTAAAAACATAAAGAAAGCAGAGCGGTAGGAACAAAACACATGAGCACCCGCCAAGACACATCGTAGTCGCACATTTTTTTTTTTTTCCAGAAATTTTCTGGCAACGCAAAAAAAAAAAAAAAAAAAAAAAAAAAGAAGAATAATTTCCTCTTTTTTTTTTTTTGTTTGTTTGTTATTGCTTTTTTGCTTCCTGTCATTTCTCCTTTTCCTTTTTTTTTTTTTAATTTTCAGTTTGCATATAATATACAAATGCCATTTATATAGCAAGCCATACATGTCCCCAAAAACAACGAAAGGCACGCGGAAGCAAACACTTTCTCCATTCATAGATGCGCAAAAATCAACATATCATGGAGTTACAGGCGGATTCACACATATTCTAATGACGGGGACAACACCATAACACATACTGTTTTCTTCGTTAGTTTCTCTTCTCTTCATTGATAAAGGTGTTACGTAATGAAGTGTGTAAATGCGCTCCCCCCCACGCAGGACAAATTGAGCCTCAACGTCCTTACACATGCACACATCATCTTCACCAACATTGGTCTCATCTATACAAATATTCTTTTCATTATCGATCGCTTGACTTGATGCTCTTCCCATGGGCTGCGTCCATTTGGATCTGTAAATGTTGTCCATCAATGGAGTGACAGGACACCATACAATTGGCGACACATATTCTTGATTTTCATTATTATTAGCTGAAGTTACCTCCGCTGCTTTTGTGATTTTCGGAGCGGATTTCAAATTCAACGACACAACACTGCTTCTTCCGAGTTTCCCACTTTTTCCATACTTTGATTTGGCTGAATTCGTCTTTGAACCCTTTCGCTTCAGTGGAATTTGGCTAGAGGCAGCTCCGCGCATCATTCCTTGATCCTCTTCCTTGATTAATTTCCGTACATTCAATGCCGCAGTCTCGGTCTGTTCATTGTCCGTGGAGTGGAGGGCGTAGACGGCCCTTGTAAAACAGCCAGCAGGAACTTGCCTTGCCTCTTGTTCGACAAGGCACGGTGACGAGAGAGGCGGCATTGAATCCATCAGCTCATACAAACAAACATGCAGCAATTCGTAGTATGGACGCTGAAGCTGCTGCCCCTCTTTGGCTTTATTGCTACCATGTCTGACAAGGGACAAAGTAACACGCACCTGTTCATCGGTAAGGGGTTTACATCGCACAAAGAGTGGCCCCATTTCACGCCCACCGGTGAGGCACATCACTTCAGAGAATGAGTTAGACTCTTTGACACGGGATGCATTGTTCTCCATAGAAAATTTATTTAATGAGGTAAAAAGTGGCAACTCTGAAGACGTGATATTCAACTTGGATCGACAATCACTAATGTTAATTGTCATTACTGAATTAGTGCTCATGTTCATTGGAGTCATCACTTCAGGCAATGTGGTGCAAATAACGGGCATTGTAAATGCCCTTTCTCGTGTGGGACGTATCCCACGATGTAACTTACCATTACGGTTATCGTAAATACGGTTGGCAACAAAGTTACGCTTACCATAATCCGGAGTTCTCCCAGAGATGACAGTATTCGTATCCTTGTATTGCCCTATCCTTGGCGTCGCCTTTGACGTCACGTCAGTATTCAACGCAGTAGTTATTCTTTCAATAATACACGAGGTAAGCGCTAATACACGATCCACCAGTTGATTGCGGTAACGCTCCATCATATCAGTGGAGCCACACTTGTTTGCCATGCAAAGGATCGAGGAGACACCCTCTAATGACCTCGAAGGTTCCGTCGTTGAAACAGGCTTTTTCATCGCCTCGCTGCTACAATACACAATAAACACTAAACAGCGCCAAACAAATATCATTAAAAACGCAAAAAAAAAAGAGCAAAAAAAAAAAATAGATGAGAAAAAAAAGAAAAAAAAAATCAAATGAAATACAAATACCCCCCCCCCCCCACTTATCTCATCGCAGCAAAAAAAGAAGTTCACCACCAAAAAACCCCATTCACAAAGTGAGCAAGAGTCAGAAATAAAGTGAAATAGCCTCTGAGTAAATAAATAACAAACATTAAAAACAAAAACATCTTTTTGAAATTTATTTTTGGCTGCCTCATCGTGGCGCTGGGTTCAAGTACCGAAGGACGCGGGTGGGACTCTGCGGGAAGCCAGAAACCAACCATTCCGCGGTGCAGTGCTCCGGGTCTCAGCCTGCACTGCACAGTGGTGTCGTCGCCACTGTGGCGCCAATGCATCGTAAGGCACTCCACAGCGCCAGCGGTATTCTTGCGGGGGGCAAAGTGCCTGACCCGGAGACGGCGGGAAACACATGCGAAAGTGGGCATCGCGCGTATCACGGTCAATTGCCCGGCATGTCGGACTGGGGGAACCACAGCCAGTCACCTCCACACCACAGGAGTGTGGGCCGACAGGGCAGCACGCGACCAAAGTCCTCCAAGGCAAAGCGAAAAGCCCAACGGGAGACCGCTCCCCTGGCGATGCCGGCCACCTCGCCGTGGTGCCAGGGCCAATTGCCCCGTATTGTCGGGGGAAGCCCGCAGTCAGCGATGCGTCCATCACGGGATTGTTGTTGGTGCATGGCTGACGGCATCAACCAGCGCACGGGCCAGCCGCGTCTTGCTGGGACACGGTTGCAACACCATGAGATCTGGGGGCACGTTTTACCGTACTAGCTGCCGGCCATCAAATTTCCAGAAACAAACAAACAAACGAAAATAGAATTCGACGCAGCAACGGCCACGCGCAGAAACCCCAAATCATACACGCCACAACGGCAATGCAACATGGCAGCTTCCCGCGCAGAAAACACAAAAAAGCAAATTAGATACAACTGAAAAATCCCCGCAATTCGCACAGTACAAAAGAACCATGACGCCTCCTTCAATATTGCATTCGCCATTCATATTCCTAATGCGTAGCACCACAGATATTGCCCCTCCATGGTGAAAACGGCTGCCTCGTTGTGGTGTTATCGTGCGGCCATCCGCCTGAGTGGGAACAAAAGGAAACTCAGGCGTCCGTCCACCTGGAGGGAGCCCACCGCAGTGTCCCCCGCGACGCAAACACTCCGCGTCCCGTGCTCGGTGTAGTGTGTGAAATCCGCGAGGAATTTTTGGGCACGCCACTGTGCCACACGGAGTGACCCCTCGGAACGCAACAGCGGACATGTTCCCTTCCGGTCACACTCGTGGCGGTGGTGGAATCCGCTGCCTCGCCGCGTGCTGCTGGCGTCGACTACGATGCTTCAGTGTGATAGAAGGTGCCCGACACGAGCGGTGCTGGGTTGGGTGGGCAGGGCCCTCCGCGGCGAGACACCCAGCGCGACTCCTGACCGCTGCGCCCACGCACTTTCCTCCACTCCACTCCCTCCACCCGGCAACCACAAAGCCGCCGGCACATTGTCCCCGAAACAACACACACGGGAAAGCGTCGTAGCATATCTATCGAGAGAACAGAGCGACAGCCACACGCTGCGGCCATCGTGCCGACAAGTCCGGCGCGGATTCACCCACACCCACAGCAGCAGACACACAAAAAAGAAGAAGTCTTCCACTCCGTGCCACGTCCTCGTGCGTGATGGTGCGGCGCCTCAAAACAATACCGCCACACGCCGCGCAGCATTCCCGCAGGGGATGAGAACCACGGCGCACTCTCACTGCCTCTCCCTTCCTTCTCTTCATTTCCACGGAGTGACGCGGCCGCAGCCACACGCAGCTGCCCGCACCGACTGCAGGAGGAGCACACAACTGCACTGCAACATGTACGCCCTGCGGTTGTGTGTGTGCCTGCACACACGCAAAGAAAGAAAAAAACAAGGAGAGATCCACGCACGTGAAGGGACACAGACAAACACGCGGCGGAGGTGCAGGACAGAAAAAGAAGGAAGGAAAGAAGAAGGCAGCCAAAGCGAAACATGACACGGCAGCCCAACCAGCGGCAACCCGCAATACGCTTGCAGAAATAGAAATTAAAAATTATAAAAAAAAAAAAAAAGTGAAAACAAATAAAATTAAAATAAAAAAAAAAACTCGCCCCGACGAATTTTTCACGCTCACAAAAAAAACAAAAAAAAGCAAAAAAACATCGTGACGCGAAAAAAAAACAAATAAAAAAACACTTGTATATTCTTCCTGCGGAGGTGAAAATATATTTGTTTCGACCGTTCAATTCCCTGGTGTCCACACAACTTTCACATTTCATTGGGACACGCAGTGAGTTGCTGCACATCTAACCTCACTTTTTTCATCGCACCGTCGTCGTGGCGCTCAATGCCGAATGCACTCGTCATCAGTCGACAAAAACATTAAATACATCCCGCCATTCTCAAAATATTCCTCCATATAAAAAAAGAAAAAACAAATATGCAAAAAAACAAAAACACAGGCCCCGCAGTGCAGTCCCCGGAGGAAGAGCACACCATTTAAATAACGACTTACACGGGCAGAAAGGGGTAGTCCAATCGAGCATAAAAACAGATAAAATAAAAGTTGCGTCCACACAAAAGTCAATTATTTCGGAGGGTGCGTGGAGAGGCACGTATAGCCCCCGCTGGAAGCAGGAAGTCCTCACTGCGATTTCTCAGTAAAGGGCCGCAATGCCCCACAGCCCCAGCAGAAGCAGCGGGAACACCCGAGACACGCCCCCACGCACGGAGTCCTCTCTCTTCGTGACCATTTTTAGTTCCTCGTCACTCAGTGTGCGGTTGTACAGAAAGACGTTCGTCACCGTCAGATCGCTGTCGCTGCCTCCCTCGGCTCCACCAATGTAGAAGTGTGAGATTTCATTCCCCCGCGTCTCAGGTGTTGGTAACGTCGCCGAGCTCCCCACAAGCTCACCATCCACGTACACGGAGCCCTTCTTGCCGTCCTGCAGTATCAGCGCCACCTGGTATTCTTTCCCCGGCTCCCAATTGCTGTCCTGTACTGCTTTGGTGCCGTTGAACACTGTCTCCCACTTACCGTTCGCATCGTACGAAAGCCCAATGAACCTCGTGCCGTCAGTGTCTCCCAGACTCGCACCCAGCAGAGGAGTGCTCTCACTCGGAGCCTGGTGGATAAGCACCGTCGCCACAATAGTGAAATCGTCGTTCACAAAGCTGTAGTAAGTATTTTCCTCCCAGCTGTTGACGAGCCATGTTGCCTTGGACCCAGGCCCCACAAATTTAAAACCGTTGTGGACCTTCGTTGCCTTAGTCACGCTTGCATTCACGCAGCGGTAATCGTCAAGCCACGTGTCACCACTGGCCGCGTCGGACAGGAATCCAACCAGACCAACCGTGGGTGTGGACGAAGCGGAGAAGGAGGCATCCAGCTTTTTCCAAGTACTGAGGACAGACTTGATTGTCTCCAGTTCCTTTGTTAGGCGGGCAAGCGAAATGGCCTTGCTGGTTCCTGTATACGTAAATCTTGCAATGTGCAACGCATCCTCCGAGTACAACAGGGCTTTTTCGAGCGTCTGAATGAAAAAACTCTCCACATAAATCGGTCCAAGACAAAAAATGCGGCTGTTGTCCGTGACACAAAGGTAGAGCCCCCTCTCCCTTTTCTCCAAAGTGCGGTATCTTTTATGAGTGTACAGCATGACCCTCACTCCCTCAATGGTCGCCGTGGTGAGGGATCCCACAGACAAATCAATATCCCAACGAGCTCCTGATCGGGGGTTGACCCACACGCCTGGGAGCGTCCCGACAGCCTCCGTCCACGTTCTCCCCATGTCAAGCGACTCGTACACCTTGCGACCACCCAAACATTCAGCAACCATGAGAATTTGTCCTTTATCCCATTCGGTGATGCTGATTCCAACACAGTGCGCAGGGGGCGTACCCGCCGGAAACACCCAGGTTTTGCCTTCGTCCGTCGAATAAATGATCCAGTTGGAACTTTCACCCTTTTCATTAGGCCCCGACAAAGAAAAGACGAGAGTGCCATTCTCCATCAGAACACCAGCGCCACCAGAGGGTTCAAGGTTCTTCAAATTAGTTTGAGTCTGTGGGGTGAGCTGTTGTAACAGCGATGTGGGATCGCCCCAGATGATCGTTCCACTCTCCCTTCTGTCCGTGGACGGCTTGGCATCACCCACAATCAGTTTGATATCCTTGCCATCCGTCGTCCACTTCTTCGTGGCGCCGTCATACTTCTGTTCATGGCTTCCCACAAGGAGAAACACCTTATTGCCCTTCCCAATGGTTGCCGGAAGGCGCGCAACACCCACAAGTTCCGTTTCATTCGCTGTATGAAACACAGTGTATGCTCTCCATGTATCCTTACTGACCTTAGCGGCAAGGAACGACCAATCCCACGCAGGGTTGAGGTACTCCGCAACAATATCAGATTGAGAAAGGTATATTAAAGGATCACGTAAAAAATTGCCGGTATTAACCACAGCCATCACTCCGCCAGCAATGACAGTAGAGGCTGCGCCAAACGAATCCTTCACTCCGACTTCAGTCCCATCCTTTGCCAGCACCCGCGTCTTACCCGACACAAAAATATCAACCCATTGCGGCATCGGCGCATCCCTCAAATTACTTTCCACAGCGTGCGCAGCTCCACTGCCAGAGCACATCATCACGAAAAAAAGAAGGAGCAGCACCGCGGAAGTAAACACATGCCGGGACATTTTGGGCCTCTGCGGCTCACTCTCTCTTCCTTCCCTCCTCCTTCCGCTGGATCCGGTCACGCGGCGACGGTTGTGTGTGCGGGGTGCCTTCACAGCAGCAACACGTGAGAGCATACAAATATGTGTGTGTGGGTAATGTGTGTGCTGTTTTTGGTCCTTTCAGAGCCTTCAAATTTCACAGTAGCGATTCGCGTTTGGTTGCTTTCCTTCCTAGCGTTTCTGCGTTCAAGAAGTAATGAAGAAAACAACAGCAGCAACACATCAGACACGTCAGTGAGGAGCAGAGCAGAGCGCCCATGCAGAGAGCGGGACTCGAGAGAACACAGAAGGAACAGCATGGAAAACAATTGCACACAGAAAACAGCAACAACAACAACACGGCGGAAGCCAACACACACACAAACACAGAGAGAGACATAGACGCGGAATTTCATCATTCGGCGACGCCATTAAAAAGTCCTGCCGAAGCAGTCTGCGGGTGATACAGTGATCCGTCGCACACTCCTGGCGCTTTGCCGCGGCAAGGACGCGGACACAAAAGGAATTATATGCGCAAAAAAAATGGACCGCATCAAGTCACAGCACTCTCAAAACGCACACACTCTCTCGGTCCATCCCACTTCCCGTCTCAAAAGGTCGCGGCAAGCACCAACCCATAAAATAATGAAGTGGTGGAAACAACTTCCCTGCAGGCACTTCAGGGCTCCACAGCAACACCACCAATAAGAGCGTGCAGCCATCTGCTTGCAGCAGTGCAGGCCTCTTTGCTCCTGGCCTCTCGGGGCGTTGAACGCCTCCCCGACCATCTAGCGCTCACAAAGCAAGCCGCACGCAGATGCCATTCACGTTCTCCGAGAATGACTTTGCCTCGCTGAACCATGTGCAAATAATCCACAACTCATCACCCAAAGTTTCTTTCCATTGCCACAAAAGAAAAAGACAAAAATATTTTGAAAAGTCAACATAAATACCACTTCGCCCTAGTCACTGCGCATTGCCCCGCACAGAATCGTTGTTACTCGCCCTCCGCTCTCCTCACATCCCATTCCTGCCTGCCAGGACGTACATCACAGTCGCAATCCCTCCCAAGAAAGACTTTGTCACATGCTGGCACAAGCCACATTTTCCCTTTGCATCCCGGTCTCCCGCCCAAAGGAGGGCAAACAGAGAGATTGTGTGCATTTGCGTGTGGATGGCCATGCGCAAAACTCATCAAGATTCAAAGAAATACGGCACACAGGGCGACCCCGCCCACGGATTGGGGAGTTCACTCAAACACCGCAGCAGGAACAGCAAACGTCCTCCTGTTGCTTTTCTGAGAGGCCAATCCATTACCATCACGCCGCCCCAACAGCGTGTACCGGCGAGCGGAGGAGGTGACTGCCCAATCGCACCTCGTGTCGGAGGCGCCCACAACGTCTCACTGCGGCCACTTGCCGTCAGCAACAAGCCGCATGGCAGAACGCAACACAATTCACCCACTCACCAAATAAATAAATAAAAGTGCATCTCACCGCCACAAAACGGCCATCAACATCTGTTTCACGGCAGACACCAAATGCCAAGGGATTGAAGAAAAACAAACACGCGGATGGTCTCCCACAACACATTCCAGCAAAGAATAGTCTCTCAAACCTGAAAATAAAACACCGTAGATTCATAAAAGCCGCCTCGTCGCGTCAAAAATCGTGCGATGCCCCTCCTCACAATGCTCTGCTGTCCACCGACACCGCCCTCTGTGGTGTTCCAGCGAAAAAAAAAAAACATTCACAAAACAACAGCAAGAGAAACCTCCACCCGCAACGTGTGCACCACCGTTGAGCATCGCTTCCATCCCCGCAAGTAAAAGAGGCGCCGTCGCATCATCTGCAAGGATCGCCACAAACACGCCAAATTGCGAAGGAATTAACGCGCTCCGCCGCGACCATCGTTTTCCCGATAAGGCAGCCCACTCCCCTCCACCGTGTCTGCCGAGCAGGACACACCAGGCCTGCCGCTGCAACGCAAGAGAGATTCAGAAATACGCAACGGATCCCGTCGCAGTCGTTGGTTCAGCCGCCGTGTTGAGGTTTGGGATGGGCGGATGGGAGAAGAAAAACAAAACGGCCAAATATCCCCGCGGAATCCCGCATTCCACGCAGTCCCAATGGCCAGAGGGTCCTCTAGGGACGCCTGGGAGACGCATCCGCCACACACGCACCATCATTCACGGCACCCCAATCGAGTTCAGCGGACCTCGCGAAGCACACGGCGCGCCTCAATGGCATGACGAGCAGCCTTCTCAAAGAAAAGGACGCGTGGCGATGGTTCCCCTCCCCGCTTCACTTTTCTTTTTTCTCTCCTGTTTTTGGTGGCATGTCACAGAAGGGGAGCGTACTTCATGTCCCTCAGCCCCTTCTCTCGGTGCACGCACTAAAACAGAGAGGGAAATAGTAAACGAATGAGTCAGGCGTCACGGAGGAGTGGATGTGCGGGAGACAAACCGACCAAGAGCATGAACAAATAGCCCGACTGGCAAATACGCAGCATATTCAGCGGAAAAGGGTATCACATTCAGTGAGTAACTTAGCAGCCAATTGCGGTGTCGATCGCCCACGATGAGAAACAGCGTTGTGCTCATAATATTTTTGACTTGTTTTCTGCTTCCCTCCCCTTTTATTTCTCCCTCATCCATCATCGTCATTCTTCTTGCTTCCTGCCGCTTTTTCTTGCCTTCGGCAACAATACCAGGTTTGGAAGCTGCACCCTCCCCCTGTCATGCCAAATATATGCTTGCGCTCTTTAAAACCCATGGCGTACTCGCTTAAATATCATTTGTGTAAATATGAAAAAAAAAAAATTTAATAATTAAAGTGAAAAATAAAATAAAATAATAAAAACATAAAACTTGCAACTGGCGCCAGTTCATCTTCCTTTCGTCCTTACAGGGTACAAAAGTGTCCTGTCGTACTCAACCTTTGGGACCCCTTGCTCCTCATCATGCCCGTAGGCCCGAATGCGCTGTATGCGTGCCTCATCCTTCACCCAAACGTCTGCGGGGACCATGCCGTCATATGGCCCCTTGCACCCGCCACTGCACGCCCGTGGACGGTTCCACTTCATCATGGCATATGCATCGTTCGCACTCAAAGACCTAACGCGACGGTACCAGAGAGCGTCCGGTAGCTCCACTTGCTCAGAGAGACGAATATTATAGATGCTGCGATGCACAAATTTGCCGTAGAAGACATTTCGCTCCTGAAATCCAAGCAAACGGAGGCGTAAGCTGTAGTCGACATCCTCCACGTAAGCTGGGTAAAAGTTCTCGTCAAAATATCCCACCGTACTGATCGCCAGGCGTGTCAACATAACAGATGTAAAACAAGTGCTTTTGTAATACGCGCAGAAGTGCCCGTAATGCTTCGAAAACGCCTTTCCACGCTCCTTCACAGAAGCATAACGGATGCGGTCAGGCAGCAGCGCAGACGTCGACAATCGGCTATCGTTCACCGTGGAGCGCAGCACCCTCAAGCCCCGTCGCAAAACAGGACTGTACTCGCTCGGCTCATTCGCCACCTCCGCCGCCAACTCATCCATGCGAGCGGCATCATGCCTCGTCATTTCATGTACATCGCGTAGAAGGTTGGGAAGAAGATCGGGTAAAAACATTACGTCGCTGTTCGTTACAAAAACAAAAGGCACTTCCTCGCGTGGGAGCGAGAGTGCAAGTCGTAGCCCAATGTTCACGGCAGCGCTGTACCCGTTGTTTTCCGGGTGACGACTCACAACCAGGCGTCCGGACCGCCCATAGACCCTCTCGAGTTCCTGCAGGCACAACGACAGCATCGCCTCCCGCCCGTTCTGCACCAAAACCAACAGCCGGATTGGCACACTGATGTTGCACATAATCCTCCGAAAGTCCATCAGATCGAGCATCAGCGGGACCACCATCAACGGGATAACGTCCGTCCCGCTATTATTTCCCCCAGCTACCGTGTCGTTGGATCCACCAGAAGCCTTTCCCCGACGCAGTGGATATATTCCGCCCTGGTCGGGCCAACACCAAAACAACATGCGCAGGATCGTCACCAAACAGGGACTCCACCCCCAAAACATAAAAATAAGAGAGCAGTCGGCAGAGCCATCCAAAGCGCCAACACTCAAATTAAAAAGGCCAATGGCACACGGACAAGTGCGGTTCTCGTCGCAACATGAAACGCTCTCGTATCGCCGCAAAAATAAGAAAAACGCACTCCATCTCCGTTCAGACCCTTCATCCCAAAAGAAGCAAAAATAATTCCAAAAATACCGCCATGCATGGATGCCTTCCTTGGCCTTGCGTCCTCACAGGACGGCTTGAATGCCCCAATGAAACCCTCCATTTGGGACGCCATCAGAGCCATCGCAAGCCACACCAGATGCAAAAACAAAACAAATAAAGTAATCGAGGACGAGGCTCAGCACTTCAGCGTGTCTTCTGCAACGCCCCTCGTCATCAGAAACATCAAAAAATGCAACAATGCAAGGAGAGGGAAAGATCGAACGCAAGCACAATTCCATCATCAAAAGTAATGTGTTTTTGCAAAGCTGTCCTCCAAACACATCAATAGTATCAAACGACAAGAGAGAACAAATCCATCATCTCATGGGTGATGGACTCTCTTTCTCTCTCTGTGAAGGAAACAAGGAAACATGGTCTTTTTGCCACCCATTCCCATTCACTACGCCAAGAGTACATGCGACCCCCATCTTGTGTCCTCGGCGCAGGAGGGACGTTTAGAGAGAGAAATGAAGATGATACCATGAACGCAAAGACACCTAGTGTGCAACGGCCAAAAGCAGACAAAATGCCCTGTTCTTGATGAACCGATGAGCAAGTTATCCACAATGCACCCAAGTACCATATATATATATATATATATTCATACCATCCATCGTGAACGAAAAGTTGGCGTCGGTTAAATCGTCTGTAACTCGGCAACCAATATCCACACGGTGACACCCGTCGGTTCGCAGGAAAAACCTTCGGCTCTCACTTCCTCGATGTGCACATTTGGCACAAGCAGACAGAAGCTTGATTCGAATGGCGACGCACTTCTTGAGGAATCGTAGCAACGGAGGAAAGGCCTTCCATGCTGTCCCACTAACATATCCGCGTTCGGTTGCACCACCCTCCCGCGGTCCGCTGGCGCCTCACAAGGTTCAGTCCCACAAAACAGCAACCTTTTGCCAATGTGTCGTGGTAAAGAATAGGTGCATGAAGAGCGTCACCATCCAATCACACAGTGATTTGCAGTTAATGGAAAAAATCGCAATGCAGCAGAAGGCATGGCAACCAAACGCGAAATGCAACTAAACACGGAGCGCAGATCGCAATCAACTGTCTTTTGGTTAAAAAAGCAAACCCTCCAAATATTCCCCCAGCCTTCTTCCGCAACCAAAAGCTCATCCTCCTGTTGAAATTTATTTTTGGCTGCCTCATCGTGGCGCTGGGTTCAAGTACCGAAGGACGCGTGTGGGACTCTGCGGGAAGCCAGAAACCAACCATTCCGCGGTGCAGTGCTCCGGGTCTCAGCCTGCACTGCACAGTGGTGTCGTCGCCACTGTGGCGCCAATGCATCGTAAGGCACCCCACAGCGCCAGCGGTATTCTTGCGGGGGGCAAAGTGCCTGACCCGGAGACGGCGGCGGGAAACACATGCGAAAGTGGGCATCGCGCGTATCACGGTCAATTGCCCGGCATGTCGGACTGGGGGAACCACAGCCAGTCACCTCCACACCACAGGAGTGTGGGCCGACAGGGCAGCACGCGACCAAAGTCCTCCAAGGCAAAGCGAAAAGCCCAACGGGAGACCGCTCCCCTGGCGATGCCGGCCACCTCGCCGTGGTGCCAGGGCCAATTGCCCCGTATTGTCGGGGGAAGCCCGCAGTCAGCGATGCGTCCATCACGGGATTGTTGTTGGTGCATGGCTGACGGCATCAACCAGAGCACGGGCCAGCCGCGTCTTGCTGGGACACGGTTGCAACACCATAAGATCTGGGGGCACGTTTTGCCGTACTAAGTGCCGGCCATCAAATTTCCTCGGAAAAACGCGAGAAGAAAAACAAAAAGTGTTTTCTTCCGACGTTTACACTGAGAACCAAATAAACTCAACCAAAATCCCGGAACAAGTTAACAAATAAACCTACAATATGAGACACTGTGAGACAAAGATCCCGGTGGCAGAAGAAGAAATAAGTTAATTCCGACGGGATCCTTGATCCGTTGAATTCAATACAGTACATCTCACCTCATTTGGTTTCCCCCTCATCTGGCCACTAATAAAACATATACAGAAGAAAAAGTAAACAAAACAGACGCTACTACAAATCAAAAATGATAAACAAAAAGGAAGATTCAAGAATACGTCCAAATACATATATATTGGATGAATTAAGCCCAAAAGGATGGAGAACAACAACAAAAAAACAATTGTGAGCTCAATACCCCAGTTGTCGCTTGACGGCCGCTACACGTTCTCGGTCAATACGATGCCTCGCCTCAAGTTCCTTCAGGCGCTGTTCGCGACGCCATGTTGCCTCATCCTGCTGTGAGCGCCATTGTAGGGTGCCAGGCTCCAAGGTTGAGATGCTATTGTCGTCACGCATTTTGCGTGAAGCAGGCAGTTCTGGTCGTGGGAGATTTCGGGCGTAGTCCAGGGCACGTGACCTTCGTTCTTGTGCCTGAATGCGTTCTGGGGGAGGTGGTTGTTGCGGCATTTTATTTGGTGTCCCATTTAAAACAAAATCGGCATCGCCTCCTTCTCCCAACTTTAGTTTTTGAATAATACGCTGCTGCTGCTTTTCACGTATCCTCTCTACGGCTTTCTTCTCCACTAACTTGCCGTATTGACACTGACGGTGCATCTTTTCCTTCGCTTGACGTTGTTCGTCCGTGTCAGCAGGCCCCAGACCTCCTAATTTAAGATGCGTCACCTGTTCCATCATCAATTTGTAGTCTTTCAAATTGTAAGATTTGTATGCAGGGTTTTTTTTCTTCTCTTCTTCCTGTTCAGACTCTTTCGTCTCCGTCAGTGCACCGCTGCTGGTAGCGGACACAGTGGACGTGCGCGGTGGCAAGGGCAAACTCAATGGTTGGAGTCTGCTTGGATGAGAGTTTATCCCAGTCGTTCTGACTGGCGCAGACGTTGCAAACTCCTGAATGCCTGTTGAAAGACCCTTTTTTCGAAGTGTGCAAAGATGGTAGTCTTGGCGGGTGCCGCAGGGACCATTTTCACTTTCTGGCCTTCTCGTGCCACTACTGGGGTTGCGTTTCCTCGCTGCAATGATGGACGTTTTATTCTCGCTTTTTACAGCACCAGGTCGAGGAGGCATCATAAAACCGACGGGCTGGTAAATGGGAATATCAGTGGAATCACGGGCTCTAAACTCACTGTTGTCATCCTCAAATTGAACGGAAAAGTCGTCCACTTCATCTTCCCTTGACAGTACATCGTTTCGGTCTTCTTTTTTGTTTTTCTTTTTTTCATTCCGCTCCAAGGGAAGTGGCGGGGATACGGCCGTATTTTTCGGTCTAGGCATCATTGGTGCTTCGTCCGCACCGCTGCTTCCACTAATCTTGCGTGGGGGAAGGCGTGCCAAAGATTTTCGAAGGCCTTCTCCTGCATCCATTAATCCCATTGTATCGGACAAAGGCCGTGAAAAGGGTATTGGTTTCACTGGCCGTGAGACATCGACGCACTCGACGGAGAGGACTTCTGGTGATTGACTTTTATCCACGGAGATGGATGTCACATCGGATAGTTCTAGACGTGGCGACATAACTGTGGCCGCAGCTACCGTCTGACGAATATTTTCTATGCGACAGTCTGGTGATATCGCCATGGCAGGATTTGGTGCGTCATTTGCATCCATGCGATTCACAACATGGGCATCGAAAAAAGGTCTTGTATGTCTTCCTAATCCATTGCCACTCTCTACGCAAATTGTGTGGTTGATGGCTTGTAGTCGTCGTGGAGGCATAATCGCTTTTGGCTCGTCCGGTGCCACAATTCCCCTCACATGACTTCTATTCCTTAACGGTAACTTCAGCATCATCGGTTTTCTTTTATGCATACTTGTCTCATCCCCCAAGGGGCCAGGTATCGATCCCCTACCCTCCTTATTCCTATTGTTCCCATCTGACCATTGTATTGGCTTCGTCTTCTTTACCCGAACCAACTGTGCATTACTGCCATCCTTTCCAACTCGCACCGCACGGTCCTGAAAGTGTTGCATGAAAGCAGATGGCAATTCCTTAACCATCTTGCGATCCTCCGGCGGGTCCCAGACATCTCTATCTTTTTTGGGCATGCGCCCAATATATATATATATATATATATTACAGATGTATGTATGTGTGTGTGATTCCCGTTAATACTGTAATTTATACTTGCCTTTCCCCCCCCGGCCTGCCAAAAAAAAAAAAAAAAAAAAGAAAAAAAAGCCAACCAACAACAAACAAGCAAAAAAATCAATTGTATAGCGCACAGACACACAGAAAGGAAAGAATTAAAACAACATCATGGGAAAAAAAGAGTTATTCGCACTTCCGAAGGGAACACACATCCGTATATAAATACATTCACCCTAAACCTCAGTAAAACAACAACAGCAACAAAAAAAAAAAAAAAAAAGAAAAAAAGAACAAAAGAATCTTCTTTCATTGTGATATTTCTGGACCTGGTGCAATGCACATTTTCATTGCCGCATCCAGTCGGGCGATGCTGCGTGTCTGTTCCACGTTTTGCAGCTCCAGTCGCCGCACGGAGTCATCACGCGACTTCATATCTTGTGCCCAGTCATCCCCTAGGCTTTTCAACAATTGCCTGCTCTGTGCAAAAGCATTATCCGCTGTAATTTGACAGCTTTCTTGTGTTTGACGCAATGTGGCTCGAATACTTCGAGCGTGCCACCAGTACACAAATACACTCATACATCCCGTCATGACACACAGTCCAAGCATGGAATTGCTACGAAGGGGCCGGAGAATTTGCTTGTACAGCGGCGAATTCGAAAATGCGCTCATCGTTTTTTCCCACTGCCTTACACTGTAATTTCCGTGTGGTTTAAAATAATAATTAAACAATATATCTATATATATATATATATATATAGTAATAAAGGAGACTTCTCAAACGCTTCTCCTCGACTATGCTGCTCTTCTTAGATATTATCCCTGTGTGTTTGTGTGTGTATTCCGACCGAATTGGACAGGGTGTGAGAGGACACGGGAGGAGGGTCCGTCAGCAATCACCAAGCAACAAGGGAGGCGTAGGGTGTGGAAAGGGGGGAAAGAAGAAAAAGGAAAAGAAAAAAAAATTCAAAGCAGCGCTGGTGATCGTCACAATAAAAGAAAAAAGAAAAAAAGAGAAAAGGAGGGGGCGAAGGGGGGGGGGGGAGGGGAAAAAAGAAGAAAAAATAAATTCTATAAAAAAGAAACAAACACAACAACAACAACCACCACAAAAACAACACATCGCCCCAACTTCCGTCAAAAGAGAAGAGAAGAGGACATGAAACTCCGTGGCACTTGACCACAAGTTTAAATAACGACCGGTAAAAACTCCCTACCGGAAAAAAAAAAAAAAAAAAGAAAAGAAAAGAAAAGGAAACACATGCACACGTCCAATACATACAAATACAGACGACTCCCTCCCAACTTCTACATGCACAAATATAAATAAATAAATATATTTATGGGTATGATGAGATTGCAAGTGCTCGTTAATGACTCCTTCCTCTTCTCCTCCTCCTTTTCCTTTTCTTTTTTTTCCCTTTCTTGTTTCATCTTTTATTCGCCCATTTCCTTAAATCAAAAATTATTACTATTATCATTCTTTTTTTTTTTTTTTTCCTTTTTTGCTTGTATTCATGTCGCTTTCGCCGGGCAATTGCCCACCCACCCACACTCCCCTATCCTTTCTTTTTTCCAGGGAAAAAAAAGATTCCCATAATGAATACATGAGAACTAAGTATGCATAAATATACATGTATATACATGTATGTATATGTATGTATATATCCATATGTAATTTTCTCTTTTTGGTTTGATGTCTTTGTTTCTTTATGAGCCCATAATGAATACCTATCCCTTTTACCATACATGTATATTAGCTACTTCTTTGATGCGTTTCTTTTTTTTTTTTTTTTTAAATAAATACCCTCTCACCAGTTTAAACACACACACACACACACACACAGGCACCCCTCTCACTCTCTCTAAGGCATAAAACATAAGAACAGATCACCTTCACCTCAATACAGACAGAAACTCCAATCCATACACAACCGTATTATTTATTTATTTATTTATTATTATTGTTGATGGTATTATCGGTGTTCATTTTCTTGTTTTTTTTTTTTTTTTTTCTTCTTCCTTTTCTTTTCTTTTCATGATGTCCCTCCAATTCCGTATCCTTTCAGTGGATATTTCAATGTATACATCCATACATATATTAAATATATTAAATATATATTTATATACCCAGTCTGAATGTATCCATGCATGTAGCGAGTGCGAATGGTGGGCCAATGCACTCCAAGCGAAATCAAAAAAAAAAAAAAAAAATGCGATCCAACATTGTACCAGGCTATATATATATATAATGCAATGTATATGTATGCAAGGTCAGTTTGATTATGGGTGTACATAACAGCCACACCCGAGAAGATCACACACACACACACACACACAAAGAAAGAAACAAAACAACAAACAAACAAACAAAAAATCGCAGAAAATGTGTGGTTGTGAGGGGGAAAAACAACAACAACAACAACAACACGACAATTGTGATATATATATATATATATTCATACGACCATGTACTTCACTTCTATTGCAAGGAACCAACAAAAAGAAAGAAAGAAAGAAAGAAAGAAAGAAAGGGCAATCTGCATTTTCACTTTAATTTTTTACCCCTCATCTTCCTTCTGTTTTTTTTTTCTCTGCGCCATTCCTTCTTGTTTTTTTTTTTTTTTTGTGTTTTGTGTTTATTATTTGTCTAATGTGTGTTTATGTATGTATGTATGTATCACCGTCATCGTTGGTTCTTTTTTTTTTTTTTTTTTTTTGGTGTTGTTGCAGTTGTTTGATTTTCATGTCTTATTTTTTTTTTTTTTTTCTTCTCTTTGTTTATTTATTTATCATTTATTTATTTATTTATTTTATTCGTCAGTTGTTTTTTTTATTCCGACTTGCTTGCATGTGCCGCGTGATGTATTTGAGCAGCTCGTCGATAAAAATCACCGGCACACTAAAGACAATCACCGCCTTCCAATCATCAAAGTTAGACGGCACCAAAACACTAAATGGTTGTGCCTCCTTCACAATGAGAGGGTCAACGCCGAGGGGGGCGATGTTAAAAAGAGCCGCCAGAAACGGTACGTACATAATCATCAGGTGCAACGCAAGCGAAGAAAAGATGGCGAGCAGCAACCAAATGTTGCTGGACGGCCGTGCTGTGATAAGGGAGGCATTCTCACTCAGTGCGTTCAGGGCATTCAACATCTCCACCAGGACAAGAATCGACAACGCGATGGCACGCGCCGTCTCCGGGTCAGCGAGGATGGCACATTTTGCATCCTGCATGTCTGTGCAGGCCGCGTAGGTGGTGAGATCCTTCCAGTTAAAGCCGTGGCTGAGGAACCACCACAAGAACCCGCCGATGGTGGCAAGGCCAACGTAGACACCAATCACCATGTAGCGTAGGAACATCCACCCATTCACAATGGGCTCATCCACATGTCGTGGGGGTTGTTGCATGATGTCCTCATCGGGGGCATTGAAGCCGAGAGCGGTAGCCGGAAGACCGTCCGTCACGAGATTTACCCACAGCAGCTGGACCGGTGACAAGGCCTCCGGTAGACCACAGAGTCCTGTCAATAGAATACATGCCACCTCACCAATGTTACTGCTGATAAGGTAGCGGATAAACTGTTTTGTGTTGTTGAAGATGGCACGACCCTCCCCTACTGCCTTTACAACAGTTGCAAAGTTGTCATCCGCCAAAACCATCTTACTTGCAGCCTTTGCCACTTGTGTGCCACTCCCCATGGCAATGCCAATATCCGCCTTCTTTAGTGCCGGTGCGTCATTCACGCCATCACCCGTCATGGCACAAATAAGTTTCTGCTCCTGTAATAACTTCACCAGCTGCATCTTATGAGAGGGATCGGTGCGACTAAAAAGGACGGCCGACATCACCGCCTTTCGCTTTTCTGCAGGGTTCATCGCATCGAATTCAGCTCCCGTGTAACTTAACCCTGACGTCTCAGTCTTAAGCAGTAAACCAAGTTTCCTGCAGATTGCCTCTGCTGTCTCCTTGCGATCACCCGTGATCACCACCACCCGGATGCCAGCAGTGCGGCAGTTGTCAATGGCCTCCCGAACTTCCGCACGTGGGGGGTCAAGCATGCCACATGCACCGACAAATGTGAGATCTGATTCAATCTGCTCAAATGTAGACGGGTCGCTCAGTTTCAACTCTCGCACAGGCTGTGTGGACTTAAAAGCAAATCCAATGCAGCGAAGTGCATGTTCACTTCCTGACATGGCATCAATTTTCGCTATGATACGTGAGCGTAGTGCATCATTCAGAGGAATAACAACCCCGTCAACTTGCATCACATGCGTCGAGCGTCGCAGAACCTCCTCTGGGGCTCCTTTTACAAATAAACTGTTTAATTTAGCCCCTGCAGTAGATGTGGCATGTACACTCATGGACTTGCGCTGACGCGTAAACTCCAAAGTGGTGTTCTTTTTCCATTTTTGTTCAGCCAGTTTGCGAAAGGCACAGACTGCAGCGGGATCGGTGGCGTGGGCAAGTTTTTCGCTCATTACAAGTAGTGCCGCCTCCGTCGCCTCGCCTATTTTCTCTACCTGACCATTCTTTGTGTTGTAATGCAATGAGGCATCATTGCAGAGAACGGCGATGTTAGTCAACATACTGAGGGCACCGTCCGTTTCCAAAGCCGATGTCACGGGTTTGCCCCCACATGTCACGACATTTGGCATGACGTTGAACCTCGAGTCCTTCAGTTCATACTCCCTTGGATTACCGTCCACACCCAGCGTAAAGATCTCCATCACGGACATCATGTTTGTTGTCAAGGTTCCTGTTTTGTCGGAGCAAATGACCGTGCACCGGCCCAAGGTTTCAACGCTTGGAAGGTCTCGGACCAACGCGTTGTGCCGTGCCATTCGTCGTGTGCCAAGCGCCAGACACGTTGTCACGACGGCCGGAAGGCCCTCTGGAATGGCGGCAACGGCAAGCGCAATCGCCACTTTAAGGCAGTGGATTGCCGGCGCAATAAAGCGCTCATACCATGGCTCATCTGGCGTCGGTGTGTGTACCGAGTACCAGCGCACCATATTGATCACAAATACGGCTAAGCAGATGTAACCAATCACTTTGGAAAGCAGCATGCCAAATTCATCCAATTTTATCTGCAGTGGTGTCTTCACCTCTTCCTGCTCCCGCACATCCCGTTCAATGGAGCCGATTTCGGTGAAGGCGCCGGTGCGCACCACAACACATTGTGCCTTGCCGTATACAATAGACGTTCCACTGTAGACCATACTTGAAGGAAAGCGATCTTGATGGCCAATTGCGGCATCTGCCTCTTTGATTGCCTCCACAGACTCACCATTAAGAATCGCCTGATCGGCACGCAATGTAGTACTGTGCAACTCTAGCACACGCATGTCCGCAGGAACACGGTTCCCTACCGATACTTCTACTATATCTCCAGGCACCAGATCTTCTGCCCCCACAGTGACCAGCTTGCCTTCGCGTAGCACGACGGCAGTTTTCGGAACAAATGACTTGAGTGCCTCAATCGCACTCTCCGCCCGGTTTTCCTGCCAGACACCCACCGTTGCGTTTAGCACAAGAATGAGGAGGATGATGAATGGCTCTACAAAATCCCCGGCGTTCTTCTCAAATAATGCCATAACGAAACTTGTCATGGCCGCAAAAAGAAGAATACGAACAAGCGTGTCCTCAAACTGCGCCAGGATCAACTTCCAAAAAGGAGTTGACGGCTTCGTGGGAAGTTCATTACTACCAAATTGTCGACGTCGCTCCTCCACCTCGTCTGCAGAAAGGCCACGCTTTGCATCCACGCGCAAAGACTTCGTGACGGCAGATGCATCCATCGTGGAGGGGGTCGCTGGGAGTGAAAGAAGCGCCATCCCTTGTCTCCGTATTTTGTGTTATTTTCCCCCTTTTCTTTCTTTTTTTTTTTTTTTTTCAACAAAAAATCCCCTGGGGATTTTGAGTTCCACGCGTTCCTTCAGGAAACTAATAATAATAATAAAATAAATGAATATTTGTAGTCAAGGTTTGCTTTTATACTTTTCTTTTTTTTTTTTTTTGTGTGTGTGTGTGTCTCTCTATCCTTGATGCCTGCGCAGCGGGCGTCCCTAAAGAACGGTGGGGAGGAAAAGAGGCGTATTGAGCGCCACGCAAAACAACAAAAAGTGAGAATTCAGAGAATATGTGAGCGCAAGCCACGGTGGAAAATAAATAAATAAGAAGACATGTGGATGCATTCCTGCCCCTCTCCCTTTCTCTCTCTCTCCCTTTGTATTTGTGTCCATGCATGCATCCAGTGCACGCCTCTCTTTGTCTGTTGATCTCTATCTCATTCTCGAGAAAAGAAAGAAAAAAGGAAAAAAAAAAAGAAAAGGTCAAACGTCATACTAAAACAATTTAATCTTCCGTGCCTTGCGATGTTTGATGGCCCCTTTGCGCTGCACCGCCTCCCCATGACGTGCGGCACCTGCTGTAGACGATACAGCCAACACTTCTGTCCCATCCCAAGTATCTTCGGCGCGGTCCAACAGTTCGGGGGGTCCCGCTTCGTACTTTCGAAAAAGATACTCAATCGAATACTTCCATCGCTCCTCGTCGTACTTCTGCCGTTCAAGCAACTTTTCATATTCACGCGGTGTTTTAGGAATCTCCTTGTGTATCCCATGGTCCACAACCGGCAACCCAAGCAACGCGTAAGCCTCTGGCGTGGCGTAAATGGCATACCGCTGGGGCATCAACTCCTCCCGCATAAACTGTCGGCTCACATATACGGTCTCATACTTGCGACCGAACCAGGAATTCTTTTCCTCGTTATACAAGTTCACAAGGAAAATAACAGGGATTTGAATGCTTGGAATTTGCCGCGGTTCCCCAACCTCTAATAAAGGTCGATTGCGAATTGTGCATGGGTACGGCTTGGGAAGATAACGGATGTCATACTCGCCAGGACGATGCTCACTCATTGGATACCGCGTCGCATTCTCCTTCATGCGTAGTGCGTAGTTCGACAAAGCCATGCGCTTCCAGTAGGGTGTGCATGCAATACGGTCACTGTAGCCTATTGAGACGCCAAAAGAGCCACCAACCTCACCACCGGGCGGCGGCGGCATCGTGACCTTCACGTCGTGACGGGGTGGCGGCACCCACGGCGCCACGCGTCGAATGCCCGTTCGCCTCATTCGGCCGGTGTGAGTATTAAAACTATTTCCTTCGGGGCAAATGTCTTTGGGATCAAACCCAACGCAACCGCGTGATTTGACCTCCTCCTCTTTCACACCTCGCACAAACCCGCCGGTGTTGCCACCCGCAAAGTAAGCACCCCAATGATGGTTGGAGACAATTGGCAGGACACAAAAGAAGAAGAAAAAAAAAAAAAAATAAATAATAATAATAAAAAACACTGCGTAAAGGAAATCAAGGTTCATAAAAGACCGTCTGTGTGGCCTCACGTAAAACCGCATCATATGTTTCAAAAAAAAAAAAAAAAAAGCCATGAACAAAAACACAAATACACACATATACATATACATATATATATGTGTCGCAGGTAGGAGAGAAATCCTTTTTTTTTCCCTCAAGTTCTTTCCTTCTCGAGTTTTTTCATCCGTTAATTTCCTTCTCTTTCTCTTTCTCTTTCGCTCTCTCTCTCTCTCTCTTTGTCCTTACCTCTACACAGGGTTCATTTACTTTTTAGCCACTAATTTGTACTTGCAAAGAGTCGTCCAGCATCTGCATCAACTGGGGATAACGCCATTCAGCGTACAGCATCAACAACGAGGAGATGATCTCAGACCACCAAGCTCGCAAAAGCATAAAACCCAATTGCCATCGGGAGCTTGTCCTTCTGGCAACAACGGCCGAGTATCGTAACATACGCAGTGGACGGTTGACAGGCCTCTGAAGCTCCCTATTGATCGCCTTGACAGCCATGATATTTCGTAACACTAATGCGTATTCCTTCGGGAGTCCAGACACGATGTTATTCACCTCATGCATCCTATTCCGGACCTGCTCTCGCATCATCTCCATGGTTGCTCTTGTCGTTAGATTTGTCTCTGCACTAAATGCCTCATACGGATGCTGCAGGAAGCATGATGCAAAGAGCGCATAATCCTCACACCCAAAACGCTTTGCAACTTGTTTTAGCGTAGGGGTGTCATGTGTGACAGCGGCGGTCCAGATACACGCTAACTCGGCACGCATCTCGTCCGACAACTCTGTGCACAGACCAAAGTCAAGCAACACAACTTGCGGCTGCCCATTCGAGAGGCGGTGCACAAGAATATTCCCCGCGTGGGGGTCGCCGTGTACAAAGCCTGTGATAAAGAGCTGGTATGCTATCGCGTCGTAGAGCCAGGCGGCAACGGTTCGGGTTTTTAAACCCAGCGCCTCAATGGCACGACGATCGGATATCTTGGCAGCGTTTGCCACCAGTCGTGTGGTCAATACACGTCTTGTGGTGTAGTCACGCAGGACGTCCACTGTGACGACGCGATTCCCAAATCCACCGGCCTTCAAATCCCGCCCTGCTCGTTCGCAGTTGTCGGCTTCCAGAGTAAAATCCATTTCGTTCGCCACCGTGTTGTTTAACTTGCAGACAATCTCTGAGAGGTCGTATCCGCGAAAGAAGAAACCCGCAATGCCTAGCATCAATTGGATCGTCCTCATATCCCCACGGAACCGATGGGCAATGTCTAAGTACTGCACCTTTACCGCCACCTCCACCTGCTCCTTCTTGAGCCGCCCACGATGAACTTGGGCGAGTGACGCGGCAGCAATGGGATGGGGATCAATCTCCGAGAATATATCATCAATGGGACGCTGCAGATCACGTTCAATCGTCGCCAAAACCTCCGAGAAGGGACGTGAAATAACAGCGTCCTGCAGAGCCGCCATCGTGGTGCAGTATTGAGGCGGCAGGATGTGACTCAGGTTGGCAAAAATTTGTCCCGCCTTGACGTAAAGCCCACCGTTTGTTTCTGCAAGTTCTACAAGGCGAGAGGCACTACGGAGATGGACCGCATTCCACGCCTCTTGTGAATCCCCTTCCTGCAGGTTCAGTTGATAATCCATTAGGATGTTCCCGGCAACATATACGCAACGACACACACGACCAACGCCCTCAAGCAACACCCGTGCTGGCAAGACTGGCGCGGGGACAAGTTCCAACGGCGGTATCATCACAACAACTGTCGCAACGGCCGTGCCTCCCACGAAGTAACCGACGCAGCGACCAAAGAGGCGACGGTATGAGAGTGGCGCCGCCACCATCCTCAACACCGACCACCACCGTCACCAGCAACAGCAACAGCAGCAGCACCCCGCTCTCTTTTTCTCTCTCTCTCTCTCCCGCCCACACGCACGACCACAATCGCACGACTGCAGGACTAGAACGTAATAAAAAACGGTCGCTTCACCCCTCAACCGTTAAAAGTAAAAAAAAGAAAAAAAAAGTTCCCTGCCACACAGTAAGTGAATAGAACCAGTCTCTCTCTGTGTGTATGTATACTTATCTAAGTAAATTAAAAAAAAAAAAAAAAAAGGAAAATTGCGTTGGCAATTTCTTTTACCCCCAAAGAACCCCATCAGAAAGAGAAATAAGCAGCAAAAAAAAAAAAAAAAACAAGTGGCAGACTCAACACCAACACAAACATAATCGTTTCGGTTTGTATTCCCTCGGGTCGTTAAGCTTTCAGTCGTCCTTCATGTAATATATATATATATTGATTCCTGTGGGGGTTTGTTTTCGTAGGGGAAGCTTCACACGCAAATTGCCCGCGATACGGAGAAACAACACGTGACGACTGCAAATGCACGCATGCCTCTCAAAGAAAAGAAAAGAACTCGTTCGATTGCACGCAAACACATTTCCCTTCCCCTCAATCAATCAAAAACAAATAAAAAAAAACAAAACAAAAAAAAACTGAATAGAATAAATGAGGGAATTCATCAACGTGGACATGTGAATTGAAGTGTGGCCCGCCGTCCCTTCCCTGCTTGCGTCGTCTCTCATTCAATCTCCACGACATCGACATCATCCCCGTCGGAGTCTGACAGCACCACCGTCACTGTCGCCCTATTTCCCGCAGCAGCATCCGTCACGTTCAGGGAAGGGGAATCGACAACATCGTCTTCGTCGTCGTTCTCCACGCCGCCGGTCTTGGTGGGAACAACACGATCACCATTACCATTATCGTTTTCAGCAGCAGCATTCTTTTTTGAATCCGCAACAAGTTTTTGCTCCAACTGGAGTGCCGCGTCAATTCCCTCCAGTTTCACTGCATCACTCCCCTCAATCGCAGGACTGTGGTTAACCACAAGCCGCCACTCCACCTCGTGATTGAGATCGTCGACAAGAAGTTCCAGCGGCCTGTCTGCAGCAGTCATCAGGTCCGCAAGCGGCGTCATTGCCAGAGCCTCGTACTCGTCCTCTTCGTACAACACATTTGCACCACAGAAGACAGATGCTGCCGTCATGGACAGACGTTCCCGTAGCACAGTGCAGAGAAACTGCCCAAGCGTTGTGTGAGTGGCGTCCAGAAACACACGAACGGTAGGATAATGCTCACGGCAGACAAGACAATTGCTGCTCGGCAGGCTGGGTGGTGCACTGTGCACGAGAAAAAGGTCCGTTGCCCACCGTTTTTGTATTGCATCGTTTTTCTTGCTGGTTTTGTCGTCGCTGCTGGAGTCTCCTTTACGGTCAGAGCCATGTGTGACATGAATATTACAACCGCAGGGGTCTGGGAAAGGACGGCGTCGTACCTGCGGCACGCGTCGCACGTACACCATTTGTGGCTTTCCAAAACGGCATGTCGTTTCTTTCATGCCAAGCACACAAAGCGCCTGCTGCACCACCGCCGCTGCCACAATGGCGTTTGTCGTTGCAATGGCTGGCACAATGGCGCCCGCAATACTGCGTATCTCCTCCACTGACTGCAGGGGGAAAATGTGAAAAACAAAAGCACGCAAGTTTGCTACAGCTGCCACAAAATCAACCGCATCGTCGTCTTCCTTGCAAAAGGCATGCCGATTGCCACGTCGTACACATCGTGTGAAGGCGTCCAGAAAGAGTGATACAGTGTCCTCAAGGCACAACGAGGTATCCCGTAGAATGTGAAGCGATTTCACTCTTGTGGCATCAACTGACATTTGTTCCGCCATTCGTTGAATGAGATCCTTCGAAAGTGGCACAGGCGGCTGCGTCGCCCACACAGTCTTCATACTAAGCAATTCTTGAATTTTTTCGTGAAACAGAGATCCTGCCAGAACAGCCGCCATGCCACAAATACTTAAACCACCATCGCAAGCGTCCACCTCGCCTTGCAGTTCTTCCTCCTGTTGGGTGATAATTGCATCAACAAAGGCAAACTCATCCTTCTCTTCCCGCTTTCCCTCACCAAAAAGTCGCTCATATAACTCCTTCGCGTAGTGCACACAGTGGACCATGGTAGTGGGCCGTGCATGAATGGTACAAACGGCGACGGTCTTTTGGTTTGCTGCCTTTGGATGGCAATCGTAGCACTCATACAGGCCGCGTATAATGGGCTGCACCTGGCCATTGTAGCCCATCGTGCCGCTCTCTATAAGAGGAACGTCTGTGCGCATACACATGCGATTCACATGTTGACGCGCCGAAACATTATCGAGTGCATTCAGCACAAGGGAAAACTGAGAAAAGAAAGCGTCATCGTACGCTTCATTCTTAATGTCCGCGTGATGAGCACGAATGACAGGCAACATTCGTTCTGAATATGTCGATGTGAACCAGTTTAGTATTGCCTTGCGCGCGGTATCTGCTTTGGATGCACCAACGTCCTCCTTTTGAAACAAAAATTGACGGTTCAAATTCGTGGCATCGATTGTGTCAAGATCAAAAACATCCAGATTGCGAAAGCCATACAAGACAAGAACTTTTAGTAACTCGCAGCCAATGCCTCCCGCGCCCACCACAAGTATACGCTCTTCCATCAGTGTCTCTTCACCATGCAACGTTTCATCCTTTGCAGGGGAAACGCAACAATTCGCCGCCACCTGTGTCATCGCCGTTTCTGTAAGGGTGTTTGTCACCATGACCTGCCGCTCCTCCCAATACACCGGCAGCTCATCCCAAACTTCTCCATTAAAAGACTCCAGTGATACCGCGGTGATTCGCGGATATCTTGCTGCTGCCTCCATATCCGCCATCCTTACTTTTTCCGGGCACTCTATAGCAGTACACGCCGACGTTGTGAGTGACAAAGCAAGAATGCCTGGAACCAGGCAAAACGAGGCACCTTTACCGGCGGCATGAACATGGACGTCAATGTGTGGTCTACCATTGATCTTCTCATGCTGCCCCACCCATGGCTCAAATGCTTTCAGCACGGCTTCCGTGATGGAAGCAGCAGAGACTTGAAACGATGAAACATCTGTCATTTCCATGACGCCAGTAGCCCACCCCTCACCTTTAAAGCGTTTGGCGTCGCCCCTCGAAACAATACCAACTTCGTCGTCCCCGCGACTACACGATGCTTGTGAAAAAAATGACCTCTTGGGAGGAAAAAGAAGATGTCCAATGTACACCCGCATCATTTTCCCTACGTATTCTTCTTTTCTTTTCCTGCTGGTTCGCCAAAGCGATGAATGGGACAAGACACAAATGAAAAGGAGCACACAAAGAAGTGCATGCACAAACCAACACAAAGGAAAGAGGGGGAAGTGGCGAGTGGAATTGACTATTTATGCGGAAAGCTTGCAATCAAATATGTCCATGTCTTCTCTGCCTGCCACGCCACAGCACCGTCCTTGATCCGTGCCGCATAACCGCCAGAAAAAAAAAGGTTCATGCAGGCAATAAACACACACACACAAAAAAAAAACATCAACAAAACTGCGTCTTCCTTCTGTGTGTGTTTGTGACGGTAAATCCCTCACTTCTCATTCTTTTTTCTTCATTCCGTCCGCAAATGAAATGAGGGAAATACAAGCGCCAGCCAAAATGGCATGCCTCACCATCGAGACGCCGACCACTCGCCTCGCTGTCACATGGCGGACCTCTCAGTGGGAGATGTATGCTCGCTTCTTCTCCAAGTACAACTGATCTCGCACCACCTTTGCCATCGTAAAGCGCCACTGATGAAACTCCTCCATCGTGAGACGGTACCGCAGGACGGAGCCGCTGCTCAGTGTGATCGTTAGCGCGACAGTAGGGATGCCAACGCGTGATATCTGCCCGGATGACACCAGAACGTCCACAGTCCAATCCACATCCAAAATACGCTCTCGTTGAAGCGGACCGTTGACTGCCGCTGCTGATTTTGCTTTTGTTTCCGGTGGTGGGGATGCGGAGGACATTTCAGGCGAGCCTGGAAAGCAATGATAAAAGAAAGACGCGAATAGACGTCAAAATAAAGGGGGGGAAAAGGAAGTTAAAAAAACAAAAAAAACAAACAACAACAACAAAACCAGTACAAAACACCATTTGTACAAGTAAGCTAGGAAGTACACACACACACATACACACAAATACATAAAATAAAAAACATGTAAAAGTGAAATTAAGCAACACAGGTGGTTTGTGCAAAATAAAATAAACCAAAAACATAAAATAAGCCCCAGACATCTGTTTTTTTTTTTTTTTTACTTTTCTTCTTCTTCAAGAGACACATTTATTCTGTTGCGCCTCATCACATTATTGCCATTTGCCGTCTCTTTCCATTACAGCAATGAGTAACCTTTAGATATTTGTAAAGAAAGTGAGACATGCGCGGATTTAATGCGCCCGTGACACCACAGACGCACCAAAGGCAACACTGGGGTCCACCGGAGGAGGTGCAGCGTAAAAGGCAGCCGTGATGTTCGCAACGGCGGTGGCACGACACTTCTCCTTCTGCGTCGTGCTTTCAAGATGCGTGCAGGTTGGATAAGGAGGCATCGGAAACGCGGAGTCCCTATTGTCATCACACAACTGAAATAGTTTAATGCACCGGTTTGAGCAGCGCGCTAACATCAACGCCCGCTCCAGCCAATTTGGTTCTCTCTGTACATCGCGACACGATGGTGGTAACCCGACAAGCCAATCGGCCTCGGGGAAAAAAGGCTCATCATCCAGTGATGAAAAATTTTTCTCAGCATTCCCTTCCCATCCTTCAGAGGATTTACTTTGGACGTGATCATGCGTCTCTATTCCCACAAACGCCGCTTCACTCATCCCGCAATCGCCATCATGAGGCACGACTTCGTTGTCAGCCGCATCAACCTCAGGTGGCACAAGCGATTTCGCCGTCACATCGAGCGATTCATGGCATTTTTTTCGCTTTTCGTCGCGCAGAAGTTTTGTATGGGGAAGAATGTATGCGTGCAGCACCGACCGCGACCGCTTAGGCATCACCCCTTCTTCACGGCCTCATGACGACGACGACCACAACCGCCACCGTACAGAGAGAGAGAGAAAGAGTCACAGACAGATAAATACGTACGTAAGTACGCACACACACACACACAAACACATCGCCGCCCATGGCAACTATCAAAGAGGGCAGCAACAACCCCCGCAATGCACAGAAGCGGAAAGGACACACAGTAAAAAGGATAGGATGAGGAAAAAAGAAACACAAAAAAAGGGGGAAAAAAAAGAAGGGATCCACTAATAAAGGGATGGGGAAAATAACCGCACCAACCTGCCTTCTTTAACGGCTTATTAAAAGCATATAATCCTTTGCATATTCTTTTCTTTTCCAGAGGCAGCGCCGAATAAATATCAGACAACAGCGTTCATTCCAGCATGGCTGCACAACAGGGAGGGGTTGTTTTTTTACTTTTTTTATTTTTCATCCCTCCTAAACGTCGTCGTCTCTTCGTGACTACAGGGCCGAAACTCCCGCTTTTCTTTTTTTTTTTGTTTCTTTTACATCTCCATCTGGCGGTAAACATCAAATGGACTCGACAATAGGGAGGGAGAGGGAACAACAACGTCAATGATCAAATAAAAAAAAACAACAACCAACGCTGCAGCCAATCAAGTAAATAAATAAATAAACATCTATGTGCCAACACACACACACAGACATACAGACAGACACACGCAGGCACACGGCAACGCAAACAAAACAAAAACAAACAAAAAAAAAAAGCACAACACAATCGTATAAAACATAATATAAAATCTCATTTTTCAAATCACAACAGTTTTCCTTCTTTTTTTTTTTTTTTTTTTTGATTTCTCCTTTTTGTGTTATCACGTGTTCCTCCCCTCCGTTGCCTCATCCTTGGCAGGCTTGTTTGAGCATGTTAACTTGCTCCGCCATGACCTTCGCGTTGGCGATCCGCTGAAGTAGTGCCACTGTGACGGATGCGGCGCTGAGAATGCTGCCACAGATGGTGATAACAGGCGATACGAGGCCCCACAGGCCCCTGGAATGAAGCTTCGATGCTATACCGGCGTAATCCAAAGCAACATCTGCCGATGCGACCGTTTTGTATTTTATTGCTGTTGTTGCTTGTGAATTATCAGAATTCATGGAAAATGCTCGCCGCAGCCACTGCCTCCATGAGGTGGAATCAAAGCCCAACGACAATTCTTCCTGCCCCATGGCGGTTCCTCGAAGTTTGGCAAACTTAAACAGCTCTTTCAAAACACGGCCTGTGTGTTCTTCCCGCAGTTGAGCTTGATACTCCATGTAAATAAGATTTCCCAAAACAACAGCCGTCATAGCAGCAGCCAACCACATACAAATCCTACTCTCACGGTAAAGTTTATTGACCGAGTCATCAAGAAAGACGGCAGCCTCCGTTAAAATTTCAACCTCGGCTTTTGTTAATGCTACTTCCACATATCCCTTCTTTGGGGCTAATTTTTTTCCAGCTGCCGTAGATCCATCTACTTCTAATTCTTTTTCTTCTTCTTCTTCTCCCAACTGAAACCTTGCTGTGACGCCGTAGTGATCAGAGATGGGACAGAAACGTGGTTCCAATGTGTTTGCCGAATTTTCATTTGTTTGGCGTTCCGAAAAGGCAAAAAGTTGCCCGCACCAAAACGCACAGCTCAATCTGGAGAACCATTTCAAAGCCTTTACCCCAAGTCCTTCTTCTGGTGGGATTTGAACCTCATTGTTCCCTGTAAAGACAACCACACCCGCAGGTCCTTCTTCACCATTGATTGGCATCTTAAAAGGGTAGTCTGCGGCCGCATCCGGGCAGTCGTTAAACGCAGAGAGACGAAGTGTATTCGATGTAAAGAAGATATGATCAATCTGACACGGCACATCACCTCCTTCCACAAACCAACCATCTTTGGGTGAGTTAAACATATTTGCATCTGAATATGTCAGTGTGGCAGTGTTGATTCTTTTTTCACGCTCAGACATCTCTGGACGGTACATAATGGATGGTGGGAGCACCGAAACCAACTTGTACCCGCGTTTACGTAATAAAATGAGCATTGCCTGCAACTCCAGAGAGCGCTGTGTTGCATTAAAATCTCCTCCAATAATAACACGATCGGTGGGATGTGATGTTGACGAGATAAATTCCGCAAGAGAAATTGCTTGGCTCAAGCGAACCGGCAAGTAGAGTTCATCACGCCAATTTAACAAACGAGCGGTTTTCTGATAGGCTGCCACGAGATGTGTATTATACAATAACACATCTTCATAGGGTGGATCGGGGCTCACACCCCTCCTTGTGGTGCATGGGACATGGATGCGCAACAGCGATGCCCCCTTGTTGGCGTAATAGTCACCGTGAAGTACACGTTCAGGGTACCCTTGCAGTGGAAACGTAAAAAACAATGCAGATTTAATGGGAAAACGAGAGATGACGGCAATACCGGAACCGTAAAAAGCACTTGGAAATCGCTTGAAGTATCGTTTCTCCCGCACTTCACTGGGCAGATTGGAAATAATGAGCTCAAAGTCCTCCTTCGAAAACTGTTCCTGAAGCAAAATAATATCATAATGAGCAACTTTCGCGGCAAATCGCGCCATACGGGCGGCACGATATTTGGAGTTAAATATCCCCCACAGGTTAAAGCTCAGGACCGTAATTTCAGTTGGCATTCCGTCCGTGTGGTTGAAGATGAGGAATGGAGACTCGTTCGCTGCAGAGGTCTTGGCGTGAGATGTTTCTTTTACTTGCTTCTTGTCTTTTTATCAGCTGTAGGAATCAATAGATCTAGAGGAGACAGACGCAATAATAATAATAATAATAATAATAATAATAATAATAATAATAATAATAATAATAATAATAATAATAATAAGAATAAAAAACACACTAAAAAAAAGTTATTGTTGATTGTTTAAATCCATCAACAATTTCTCACTAAATTCCCTCATCCCTTGTCCCAGAACCTCCCTCCCTTCAAGGCCATAGCTTCGATACCACTCATCATCTACATACATACATACATACATATATATATACATATTGTACTATATTATATTCTAAAGCCACGACAGCTCCTATCCGCTAATATTCAAAGCGTAATTACGCATTGGCCGTCTGGTCCGCCACCTTTGGCATCCACGGTGCGACACGATTGACGGGGTATGACATGCGCATATGCATCTCTGGACGACGCATGTGTACACGAGGCTGCAGGAACCGTTTTGCCTCCAACGGAATGTCAACAGGTACTTTAAGTGTTACCTGCTGTTGCTGCTTTTCCATTTCTGTAATAGCCAGATGCAGCCATTCACCATCCAATTCCTCTGTGTGGTGAATGTGATCGTGTATCGCCTGAACATGTGCCTTTGCCACACCGACCTGCTCGTGTACAATGTGCGCCACCTCATTTGCCTGTTCTTGGGTTACTTCCGCTATCTTCTGAGCCGGGTTCCCTGCCCACAACTCCCATGCATGAATACGTGTGTCTTTCGGCACATTTGACCCTGCAGCAACGATTGCTCCATTTTCAACAACTGCACCAAGCGCAACAGACACACCTGGCCCAATGTATACTCCGTCTCCAATGGTGCAACAGTCCAGTGTGCTGCCAACACCAATGTAAACGCCATTTCCAACGCTTACTTGACCTAAAAAGGAAGCACGATCCATCACAACTGTGTGATCACCCAAGACTGTTTCCTCCCGTACATGGTAGTTACGAATAACGACATGATAGAAAATGCATGTGTCATGTCCAAGTACGACGTTTCCACTAAGAAAGGCACTCGGCGCAATAAAAGCGGAATCTTGCGTCCACGGTAACATCCCACGGTAGGCACGAACGTTCTGGTGACGCATGACAGGATACATGTGGCGGTTTGTCTGTAGATAATGTGCCATGATTGCAAGCCGGGCCCCCACGTCCTTCAGCATAAAGCCAAAGTACGGCACAAAGCCTGGAACAATATTTGCAGGCATGCCGATCCCGTGGCAAACAATTTTGTCACAAAGAAAGACAGAAAGTGTTTGGGAATTACACGCCAATTACTTTTTCTTCCTGCTAAAAAGGAAATAAAAACAAGAAAAACAACAACAACAACATAATAATAATAATAATCCAAACTTAATAATAAAAAAAAAAACAAAAAAAAAACTAACGAGGAACAGGTATGATGCACCTTGCGACGTGGACGCGGCCAGCCCCAAGCGGTACTGCCACGAGGGCTCCGATGAAGACAGAAGAAGAGGTGTATTTATCCATAAAAGTGACAAAAAGTCCATCTCAACCCTCCTCCCACAAAAATAAACAAGCATACATAAAGACATGTACA